GCACTGATTTGATATAAACTAAAATCTATTCCTGCCTTTCCAACACCCTGTATTTCAGAGTGGTTCATCAACACATTAACCCATATCAGAATGACTCATTAGTAGGAAGAATGTTAAATGTTCTTATATTGTTTTAAAGCAAAGTTGACCTAATAGTTACTTTACCTATAGGTTTATCAGTTGCTGCATTATTTTAGAATTTATATTCTGAAGTTCTGATTGAAGGTAGGCTATATTGAGTTTATTGATGTATTAAGACACTTTCATAAAGTGAAATTCACATAAGCACAAACTGCTTCAACTGTTCAAAGAAAAGAACACATGAATAACTCTTATATTATTTAGTATTACCGATAGCATCATGCACTTTTTTTATGTCCTTTTCTTCTGGTTTTACAAAAAACATACCCCCCCGCCCCCCCTCCACACACACACACACACACACACACACACACACACACACACACATAACCAGTTAACAGTTATCAAACAGAGATCATTTCTTACAGTAACTTATAAAAGTAAACGTCCTTTTAACTCAGACTGTTTGCCTATTGAGCCCTCTGGGGCTCTTTTTGTAGGATGACCACATGACCCTGTGAACATGCCTTAATGCTCATTGATTGAACTTAGTATTAAAAACTAATTGCTTTCATTACAGCATGCAGGTCTGCTGAGAAGCGTGTGTGCACGTGTGCGTGTGCGTGTGTGTGTGTAAGAAGCATGTCAGACTTGGTGTGGCCCGAGGCGCAGGACGGAGAAAGCCCTGCGGTGTTTGCGCAGCAGCAGGCGGATCTTATCATCGTCAGAGTCGGGGTCCAGAGGCTTGTTGTACTCCTCGTCCTCCACCTCGTTCTCCGAGGCCTCCCCGCACTGCCCCGCGTGGCTGGCCTGCGTGGAGCTGGGCTCTGAGGCGCTCTTCTTCCTCCACTTGGTCCGTCGGTTCTGAAACCACACCTAAACACAGCGGGGAGGGGTAGGCGATGAATAAACTTGTAGCCTATTGCTTAACAGGTCCATCTTGTTTTTTGTTGTAGCCTAATTTGGAAAAGGTAGGTGCTTGCAGGTTGTTGATTCTTTGGCTTACTTGTGTGATACTTATCACATTCCCTAAGCACGTGTCTGCAAAAAAAGTAAACATTTCAAACTATTTCTGTTGCACCTTTCAAAACGGGAGTTGCAAGTTACCTCACGTGCACATAAAAACCACACATAGGCTTAGGCAAATAAAACAAATGATAAATAGAACAACATAGCCTACAACCACTGGTGTAATAAGTGTTTTTTTAAAAACTAAGGCAAGGCATCTTAAACAAAGGCATATTTTTAACAATGTAGGCTAAATGTAACGTTATCTTTACCTTGACTTGTGATTCAGTCATGCCCAGAGAATATGCCAGTCTTGCCCTCTCAGGCCCGGCCAAGTATTTGGTCTGCTCGAACGTTTTCTCCAGAGCAAATATCTGATGTCCGCTAAATGTTGGTCTGGTGTGTTTCTTCCTGCCTGACATCTCCCCCAGAGGCCCGCTACCTGGAAATATCACAGGAAAAATTAATTAGGAATTAGATTTACCCACTTCCGTTTCTGCTAAATGGTGTTGCAATATTTTTATCTGCATAAGCAAGGGGGTGGAGGATAGGAATAGTTTCCTAATTACACTCTCTGTTTCTGAATCCAGTTTATAGATTGGATATTGTAGAAGTTTAAAATTGCCATTGATTTAAAAATAAATCATCCACATGTTATATAAAAGTTCAATTTCATGAATGTTTGATTGAAAGTTTGAAAAGCCACAAATAATAATCAACACCTTTGTTTTTGTGTTTTCTTCTAGATAATACATGTACATGGACGCTTAAATTTAAATGTTAATAATATATTTAATAATATCTTATATTATCTAAGCATTACATCAAATCATACATTTTACACACATACTACGTGATATGAGTTTTTGAAGTTTTTATAGTGTATAGGCTATTTCTGTATCTTTTCTCATTAGATTGAATTTGTCTTTTTCAGTCAAGACAAAGGACATTCTGGCATCATTCCGAGGTCACACGTCTTGTCGTGTCCTCGGAGACAGACATGGGGAAATTGTAATGCGTTGATGAGCTGGATGTTGAGTCCAGTCTGCAGTATTTAGACTCACTGTTGGTGCACTGCTGCCTCCCTCCTCTCCAGTCACAGCCGCTCTCCGCCCAGCAGCTCACACTGCGACCCTTCATGGGGCACTCGCTGCCAGGCTTGGAAAAGCCGCCCAGGTTGGAGTTGTAGTCTCGGTTATAGTACATGGACGTGCTGGTGACGGAGGGGCCGAACCCCCCCATTGTGGAGTATCCGGACAGCAGGGTGGTGGTGCCCGTGGAGCCCATCCCTACCATGGAGCGGCTCAGGATGTCGCTGATTCCGTGAGGGGTCCCTGCCTGCAGCTGGCTGTTGAGGCCCGGGTTGAGCTTGTAGAAGGAGTTGGGCACTGAGTACTGGCACACTGGCGCCTTGAGGTCTGAGGGGAATTGGTTCAGGCTGTTGTTGAACAGGAAAGACCCCTGGATGTTTGGATCCATGGGGAGTACTGTAACTCTGCCTCCAGGTCTCAGTAACACATCCAATAAGATCTGGACAGGAAAAGACCTCTGATGGGCCGACAAGGAGTCCTCTCACCCGATGTTCCACCGTCCCCAGATATTCAAATAAATAAGAGCACCAATAGCAATTTTAACAAAGTCCCTGGTGTTTGCCAAAGTTGCTACCACATCAGAAACAGTGTAGCAGCAAATAAACTCTTCACTCTCGCCCTTTGCCTCTTCTCAGCCCCAGTGTGGTTGTGGTGTGTGATAATCCCATATCTGACATCTCGGGCGAGTCCTCTGGACGCAGATTTTAATGCTCTCCTAAAGACATGTGCCTCCTGCCGGGTCTCTCCTCAAATATCATAAATAAGCAGTATCTGGAAATGGAGTGGCACCTTGATAAAGATAAGCCACATTAGAATGCAGCCTGGGATTGGCCTGGGTCTCACAGCTTTAATGCCTTGCCATTGGCTCCTCTCTGAAAGCCAAGCCTTTTATTGGAAAGCAGCAGATTAATAGTGTTTTGAACAGGTGGAGTGGGAACAAGTTGATTTTTTGATGGCCTGCCATGTCTGACCAAGTGTGGTGGAGCAGAGGCAGCTGAACCTGGAGTGCACAGAGGAGGAGGAGGAGAAGAAGAGTCTGTTTCCTGCTTCAATATTGGAGTACTGGAGATGTTTTTTTTTTAAAAAAACAAACCATTATGTTGGGGGGGGGACAAACCCTGTTCCCAAACCCTGTTCCCTGGAACAAACCTAATATGAGGCTGGTATTAGGCCACATACTTTTTCACCAACTGTGGAATTTATATAAATATAATTTAGTAATAAATTATTGGTGGTTGAACTGTGACCACTAGCACTGCACACAAAGAGAAAAGTTGAGCTTTAGCTTAATTTACTTTAAACCATATTAACTAAAATAAGGTTTCAATTGTTTTGTGATGCCTTATAATGAACTCTAAGAACAGATTTAGTCATCTAAATGTTGATATTATGTGACTTACTGTTATGCTTTTTGAATTGGGGTGGATGCATCAATGCATTTTTGCAGTATTTAACTACAGGATTGCATAGAATAAATGATTCTAATGCCTAGAATCAAACACTTGGTCTACAGGATATACTTTTCCCTAAAAACATGCTTCACATAAGGGTGTAATACAAGTTAAAATACCTACGTCTCCTAATTCAGAATTCAGGTGTGGCCTGCAGAGTTAATCACTGTGACGTGATTTCTGGGGAAAAGACGTGATTTAAATTGGAATAGTAGGAGAAGAGCTAGTAACTTTCCAAGAGTGATGATGTCATTTAGGATTTCTCATGGCCCATTCCTGTCACATGATTAGGACTGCCAATCAATGAGGACTATTGAAATATGAGCATGTGTCCTGTAGAGGGCGACAAAGCTCTGTACACACTGGTGAGAGAATATACAGCAGCAAGTGAGGAAATTTTTAAGAATGAACCTTTGCATGATCTCATCACATACACATGTTTAGGAGTCAGTCCGGGTAGCGGTACCAATACTTTTGTGTTTTGGGTATTTTCCACGATGTGTTGAGTCAGGTGGCGTTTTTTGAACATTTCTCTAAAATGAGGCCAGATTGCATTGCCTTTCCTAAAAGAGATTATTGTCAATATCAGGGTCAGGAGATTCAAATTTTAGATTCACTTCAGTTTAGAAGAACAAAGGCCACTGCAAAGTGCTAAGTAGGCCTACAGGGGAGATGGGGGGAGTTTGGCTAATCAATAAGTCATGAGCACCCCTAATAATAAAATAAAGTTTCTCGTTATGCGTGCTCTTCTTGTCGTCACCATCGAAGCGTTGCGGTGCAATTTCATAAACTACACTTACTAACTTTTTTTTAGCCCCACTCAGTCTGGGCGCTATAATTCATTTAAGAAAAGCCGTTAATGGTACTGACACCCTGCAATAGGTGGCCTATTTTAACAGCCTCTCGTCATTTATGATGTTATGATGTTAATGGACCGTTTTGGTAAGTTAAAGTAGGCTACTGTTTCTTCACTTATGTTAAGAAATGTACATAAATGTTTGTTTGCATGACCTTTGTCTTTCAGCATAAAACACAATCAAGACCATGACTAATAATGAAAGTGATACTATTCTATATGGGAGCTAATTCCATACAATTCAGGACCTCACATCCGGGTATTCACATTGCTGCTGTAAAAGTCACTGATTAAAACAGAGATCATTTAAGATAAACGTGAGTTGCGCTAAAAACAAAACTACTGTTGGCACCGTGCCCTCCCTCATCAGGTAAATTTCCAAGGTTTGGCTCCTCCCTCAGTCCCTCCCCATTCCTTTTCCTTGTGATGCTGGGATGTGTCTGTTTTGACACCACGTGCACCATGTTTTAAAGCCTGCTCATTAAACCAAGACACAGATTTGACTACATCATCTCTCAAGACAAGAACAATCTGCCTCTTCAAGATGATGAAGGAGAGTGACAACGAGAACTCTGGTGAGATATTTAATCTTGATCTTTGTTTCTTTGTTTCTCGAAGTTGTTACATTTAGGTTGCTAAATTATATATAAAGTATTAGTGTTGATGTAATGACTAAACAAAATACTAAAACTGAAAATAAGTTAAAAAATTAATTGTAATTCATTTAATGTTTTACATTTTAGTAACAAATCCTAATGGCAAAGGTATATTACTTTGGTATAAAAAAACCTTAAATTTTTGTTTGATTTTTGTTTGTCTGAAAGCCACTATTCTGTCCACTAAGAAAGCGTTAATTGTTCTTAAAAATCTGATTAGGTATGATACAAAACAAAAGTGAGTTGTTGCTGAAGTCTTTTCTTATTAGTTATAACTGCTGTAAAACTGATCAAAAGAAATAGGAGGAATATAGGATTTATGACCTGTGCCGTAAACTGTGAAATAAAGGAGATGAGAGATAAGTAGAAACTATATGTTTTACTGGAAACGTTCAGCTCCTCACTGATGAGTAAAGCACTTTACATGCAAATTAAGATGTTGCTATGTGTGAGTCACAGGATAATTAAGTTATCATTTACTGCAAATTGTTTGATAGTTTTCACTTTGAACATCCATCTCTACGTGAATTGCACACCCGCACCTGTTCCCACAAAGTGAAAGCACAAGCGTCTTGCTTGTTTACAATTTTATTTGCTTTCTGCAACTTTACTGAAACAAATGATTAACTGGCAACACTGGGAATGCGATCATAACGCGACCTCGAAGATGATGATATGGTTGAATATGAATAGGTTGTGTGAAAACAGCCTCTTATCATTTGTGGATCTTACTGGATCCCCCTTGTTTGTCAAGTTACATTTAGGTTGCCAAAATAAAGTATCAATTTTGATGTTATTACTAAACTAAATGCTAATACTGAAAATAAATAAGTAGTAATTCATTTTCAATTTTACATTTTAGTAACACAAATCTTAATGGCATAAATTCATACTTTGGTATGAAAAAAGCTCTTATAGATCGTTTTTTAATGCACATGTACATCGTGAAAACATCTCTATATTAAAAAAAATTTTCAAGAGGTACTGAGAACCAGTATTCTGTCTGCATGACGTTATGGTGAGATACTCTTTATTAAGTATATATTTTGTCAAATATGTCACTTATTCACTACAGCTTAAGCTTATTGGAATTAGTTATCTTTGACACAAACAATATTCATTCATATAGCAGAAAACATAAAGGAGAAAATAATAAGTATTATTAAATTCACTGCTTTTAGTCTAAAATGACTACAGTACAATGTGTTGTTTACTACACTGTATTCAGATAGTGAAAGCAAAACTAACCAGCTTTTTGTTGTTGTGGTTGTCTGTGACACATGCGCAAAGAAATCACTTTGTGCAAACATGACTTGCATGTAAAGATTTTTTAAAAAGATTGTTTTGTTTCTTTTGCAGTTGTTGGGTCAGAGAGGTCACTCCGGTGTGGCCTGTCCTGCCTCGGTCCTCTGACCTTCTACTCTCAGGCTGTGGGAGACAATGTGCGCCTGAGCCAGGGGTTTCGACTCGCAGAGAGGACGGAGAAGACGTTCAGGAACGGCCTGGTGTTCAGCAGCCGCCCAGTGAAGGTCCAGGAGAGGATTCGTCTGAGGGTGGAGAAGGATTTGATGAACTGGCACGGAACTCTGCGTGTGGGCTTCACCAACGTGCCACCTTCAGCCAGATCTCAGCCTCTGCCCGACATGGCCATCCCCAACCTCACTGACATCTCCGGGCACTGGGCTGCTCCCGTGCATGAATCCTACTGCCAAGCAGGTTCAGAGCTTGAGTTCTGGGTTTCCAATGGAGGCTCCTTATACATTACTAGCAACAACATCAGGCAGCACAAACTACTGACAGGAGTGGATCTGAGCAAGCTGCTGTGGGCCATGATAGACATCTACGGACAGACGTGCTCCATTTTCCTTCTGGGTAAGTTTACTGTTAGATAACGATGTGTTTGGGCTGCACAGCCCGTTTTCTTGTTCTTATTTATTTGTTGACCATGCCAAGTAATTGTGTGAATGACTATTGTAAAAAGATGTATCTACACTCTGCTGCAGGCTCAGAGAAAAGGGAGCTGTTTCGCACCAGAAGGTCCTGTCCTGCACCTGAACGCCCCACCTCACTGGATGTTGACATTCCCAGCAGGATGACTCCTGCTGTGTCGAACCTCCACGGAGACAGCGAGCAATGCATCTCCTGTCTTGACATGGAAGTCCCAGCAGGTAAGAAAGAGTCCTTCCAACCAAATACTGATTTTTGACCCTTAACTGATTGAATCAGTGAAATCAGCTGTTTGCATTGATTGAGAACATGGCACATATGCAGGAGATGAGAGATAACTAGAAACTAGCCGTTTTACTGGAAACGTTAAGCTTATGACTGATGAGGAAAGGGCTTCACATGTAAAAAAAGTTACTACACATGTGAGTCACACCTGCATGATACATAAGTTAACATTTAATAAATTCTTTATCAAATTAACAAATGCATTGATTAAATACAGTGTTTACTTTAATCAGTCATCTTTGCATGAATGGTAAACCTTCACCTGTTGCTCAAAGTCAAGCACGTGTCTGCTAGTTTCATTATTACTTGTTCACAATTTTATCTCCTATTTACAACTTTATTGAAGCAAATGATTAACTGGCATCCGTTTATATTAAAGAAGAATCATTAGGCATGTAGTCATAATATGACCTAAAGGATCAAGACATGTTTTATTCTGCTGTTTATGATGCTGACAGCAAGGCCTGCAATAGGTTGCATGAAAACAGCCTCTTATTATTTGTGGATCTTACAAGATCTCCGCTTGATCTGCAATTTACAGCGCTGCTTAAATTATCTGTAAAGTCCTCTGTTAACTACAATTTGTTAAGTTCAATTTAGGATGTCAAAATATATATGAATTATCACTTTTCTTGTTATTACTAAACTTAATACTAATACTGAAAATAAGTAAATAATAATTCATTTAGAATTCTACATTTTAGTAACACAAATCTTAATGACATAAATTTGTACTTTGGTATGAAAAAGCTCTTATAGTTTCTTTTTTAATGCACATGTACATCAAGAACACATTCTAAGTTAATTTCTTTTTCAAGAGCTACTGAAAGAAACTATTCTTTCCTTTAAGAATGTGGTCATTATTCTTAAGAATCTGATTGGTGAGATACAAAACTAAAGTGAGTTGTTCATGCCCAGGTCTTTTGTTATCAGTTATAGAAAGAAGAGTGTCTGCTAGTTTCATTATTACTTTTTTATTTATTTTAACTGCGGTTTATAGCTCCATCATTATCAACTTTATCGCTGTAGAATAACAAGTTATTAGATTAGATGATGTTAAGAAATTTCTCTTTATTATGTGTTTTATCAAATATGTCACTTATTCCTAACAGCTTAAGCTTAGTAGAATTAGTTACCTATGACACAAACAATCTTCATTTATAGCAGTAAACATTAAGGAGAAAAAATATTGTACTACGAGCACATTCACTGCTTTTAGTCTAAAATGACTACAGTACAATGTGTTGTTTACTACACTGTATTCAGATAGTGAAAGCAAAACTAACCAGCTTTTTGTTGTTGTGGTTGTCTGTGACACATGCGCAAAGAAATCACTTTGTGCAAACATGACTTGCATGTAAAGATTTTTTAAAAAGATTGTTTTGTTTCCTTTGCAGTTGTTGGGTCAGAGAGGTCACTCCGGTGTGGCCTGTCCTGCCTCGGTCCTCTGACCTTCCACTCTCAGGCTGTGGGAGACAATGTGCGCCTGAGCCAGGGGTGTCGACTCGCAGAGAGGACGGAGAAGACGTTCATGAACGGCCTGGTGTTCAGCAGCCGCCCAGTGAAGGTCCAGGAGAGGATTCGTCTGAGGGTGGAGAAGGATTTGATGAACTGCCAAGGAACTCTGCGTGTGGGCTTCACCAACGTGCCACCTTCAGCCAGATCTCAGCCTCTGCCCGACATGGCCATCCCCAACCTCACTGACATCTCCGGGCACTGGGCTGCTCCCGTGCATGAATCCTACTGCCAAGCAGGTTCAGAGCTTGAGTTTTGGGTTTCCAATGGAGGCTCCTTATACATTACTAGCAACAACATCAGGCAGCACAAACTACTGACAGGAGTGGATCTGAGCAAGCCGCTGTGGGCCATGATAGACATCTACGGACAGACGTGCTCCATTTTCCTTCTGGGTAAGTTTACTGTTAGATAACGATGTGTTTGGGCTGCACGGCCCGTTTTCTTGTTCTTATTTATTTGTTGACCATGCCAAGTAATTGTGTGAATGACTATTGTAAAAAGATGAAGTGATTTAATGTATCTACACTCTGCTGCAGGCTCAGAGAAAAGGGAGCTGTTTCGCACCAGAAGGTCCTGTCCTGCACCTGAACGCCCCACCTCACTGGATGTTGACATTCCCAGCAGGATGACTCCTGTTGTGTCGAACCTCCATGGAAACAGCGAGCAATGCATCTCCTGTCTTGACATGGAAGTCCCAGCAGGTAAGAAAGAGTCCTTCCAACCAAATACTGATTTTTGACCCTTAACTGATTGAATCAGTGAAATCAGCTGTTTGCGTTGATTGAGAATATGGCACACATTTGCCTATCTCTTATGTCAGTCTTTGTAATTGTGATTCCTCTGTTTTGTTCACAGGTGAAAGCAGGGCAATGTCCTGTGTGGTGTGCATGGCAAAAGAGGCCAGAATCACTCTACCCTGTGGCCACAGGTGTTTGTGTGACCGCTGCGCCCCCAAGGTCTGCCAGCAGTTTGGCACCTGCCCTCTATGTCGACGGAACATCTGAGCACCATCACTGTAGGGGAGGTCTGTCATTTGGGGGCTCTAAGCTCCGAGACACCAGGCAAGGCTCATCAAATACAAGCTACTGAGTGACTGTAACAAAGAAAACACTACGAGCAGCGCCCACCTAATGTGTCCTGGTAGCCCAGTGGTTGGGGAGGTTTGCCATGTGACCACAGTGTGCCTGATTCAAGCCCAGCCAGGAAACTTTGTCGCATAATTGTTATTCAACTCTGTAAAAGGATTTGTGAACAAAGAGTAAAATGCACTTTTATTGTGATTGCCAAACATCAAACATTTTGATGAGGACAATCTATGACTTATTGCACTCACAGCATAAAGAGTAATGTAATTTGCATTTTTTTCAACTGTACAGTATATTTTGCCTTCTTGATGTTATACATCTTAAATCAAACTATTTTATTAATTTTTTATTTCAGAAAATGATATTTTTGCATCTTTTGTAAATATGTAAAATATTTATATGTATGTAAAAACAAACAAAGACAAAATAAAATGTCTTATGTCTAATGATATTCTATTTTCTTAGTTCAATTTGTTTATTTATTGTTAAATGTGTGTGTGGCAGATTTAGAGAGTTATAAGACGGAAATAGAATCTCAAAGGCAAACACAGGCTCTGTCTTTCCAGCAGCAAATGCTTTAAGTCACAAGCAACAGCAGATCAAACAAATAACAGGGGTTGAGCTCAGCCACCCACTGAGGGCCATGATAGATATCTAGCACTGACATGCCCTATTTACAGGGTAAGTTGAGGTTATGAGGTCCAATTGCTGTATGTTGTACCTTCTCTATTTGTCTTGTTCTTTTCCTTTATAGGCCTGATATTTCACATGCATTTACCAAAAGAACATGGCTACACAAAATATGTATTTAGCAATAGCAGTTCTATTAAATCTAAATTACACATCACAATTATAATATCAAGAATTGGGTTTGGCCGATGTGGGTCTCTCTTACTTTCTCCCCTGTAAATGAGCACAGCAGCGGTTGGAGTGAAAGAGAAAGTGCTGCAGCCGCATGACAGAGGCCGGGTCAGAATTAAACAGAGCTGTTTGCTGTTCTCACTTGTTATTTTTCATATATAACCAACCTTTGTGCTGCAAATTGAGTTTTTATTTTACAATATAATGTAACAAGCCTACATACATTATGGACATGTCTCGACCATAAACTGTATAAAAGAAGGTGTACGGCTACAAGAGATTTCCCTACCAATATCCAGGACTTCTGAATTATCCCTAGCAACAATTTTGATCAAAACAATTAAATATAACTCTTGTTCTTTACTACCAGTCCAATTTGCTTTTAGGTTTTGAAAGAGTATGTCCTTCCCCCTCAGATGCCTCACAGTGGTTTGGTCACCTGTCAAACTTTTTCAGCCACTTGGCAACTTCGTTTCTAAAATGTAACTCTGGGAGATGTTTTTCTTGTCCCCACCAACAGTGGCATGAAATATTGACCAAACCCCAGTAACAGTGCATCTTTGGGAATGGACGTTTGTTCAGGATCAGCCAGAAGGCACAATCCATTTGGAGTGGCACCATGGTAAAAGATAAGCCACGTTAGAATGCAGCCTGGGATTGGCCTGGGTTTCACACACTGCATTAATGCCTTGCCATTGGCTCTATGACTCTATGAACAAATTTAGTCATCTAAATGTTGATATTATGTGACTTACTGTTATGCTTTTTGAATTGGGGTGGATACATCAATGCATTTTTGCAGTATTTAACTACAGGAATGCATAGAATAAATGATTCTAATGCCTAGAATCAAACACTTGGTCTACAGGATATACTTTTCCCTAAAAACATGCTTCACATAAGGGTGTAATACAAGTTAAAATACCTACATCTCGTAATTCAGAATTCAGGTGTGGCCTGCAGAGTAAATTATTGTGACATGACGTCTGGGGAAAAGACATGTGATTTTATGGTCATAGTAGGAGAAAAGCTAGAAACTTTCCAAGAGTGATGATGTCATTTAGGATTTCTCATGGCCCATTCCTGTCACATGATTAGGAATGCAAACCAATGAGGACTATTGAAATATGAGCATGTGTCCTGTAGAGGGCGACAAAGCTCTGTACACACTGGTGAGAGAATAGGCAGCAGCAAGTGAGGAAATTTTTAAGAATGAATCTTTGCATGATCTCATCACATACGCATGTTTAGGGTTTCTTTAAATCACAGAGTAAGTCCGGGTAGCGGTGATAGCCAATACTTTTGTGTTTTGGGTATTTTCCACGATGTGTTGAGTCAGGTGGCTTTTTGAACATTTCTCTAAAATGAGGCCAGATTGCATTGCCTTTCCTAAAAGAGATTATTGTACTGTGGGTCCGATAAAATGTCAGTATATACATATCTTTCTACCTCATCTGAGTGTGAGAGGGGGTTTGTCAGCCGTTAATGATACTGATTACAAGGCCCTGCAATATTTGACGTATTTTAACAGCCTCTCATCATTTACGGATGTTAATGGTAAGTTAAAGTAGGCTACTGTTTCTTCACTTATGTAAAAGAAATGTACATAAATGTTTGTTTGCATGACCTTTGTATTTCAGCATAAAACACAATCAAGACCATGACTAATAATGAAAGTGATACTATTCTATATGGGAGCTAATTCCATACAATTCAGGACCTCACATCCGGGTATTCACATTGCTGCTGTAAAAGTCACTGATTAAAACAGAGACCATTTAAGATAAACGTGAGTTGCGCTAAAAACAAAACTACTGTTGGCACCGTGCCCTCCCTCATCAGGTAAATTTCCAAGGTTTGGCTCCTCCCTCAGTCCCTCCCCATTCCTTTTCCTTGTGATGCTGGGATGTGTCTGTTTTGACACCACGTGCACCATGTTTTAAAGCCTGCTCATTAAACCAAGACACAGACTTGACCACATCATCTCTCAAGACAAGAAGACAAGGACAATCTGCCTCTTCAAGATGGAGAAGGAGAGTGACAAGGAGAACTCTGGTGAGATATTTAATCTTGGTCTTCAGTCAACGTGATATGCAATTTACTAAACTGCTTTAACTGTCAGTAAGGTCTTCTATAATCACATTTTGTCAAGTTACATTTAGGTTGCGAAATTATATATAAAGTATCAGTGTTGATGTTACTAAACAAAATACTGCTACTGAAAATAAGTTACTAAAAAATAATAGTAATTCATTTACAGTTTTACATTTTACTAACAAATCCTAATGGCAAAGGTATATTACTTTGGTATATAAAAAAAATTGTTTAGTTATAACTGCTGTAAAACTGATCAAAAGAAATAGGAGGAATATAGGATTTATGACCTGTGCCGTAAACTGTGAAATAAAGGAGATGAGAGATAACTAGAAACTATATGTTTTACTGGAAACGTTCAGCTTGTTATTGATGAGTAAAGGGCTTCACATGCAAATTAAGATGTTGCTATGTGTGAGTCACAGGATAAATAAGTTATCATTTACTGCAAATTGTTTTTTTTTATTATACAGTTTTCACTTTAATCATCCATTTTTGCATGAATTGCACACCCGCACCTGTTCCCACGAAGTGAAAGCACAAGCGTCTTGCTTGTTTACAATTTTTTTTGCTTTCTGCAACTTTACTGAAACAAATGATTAACTGACACTAACTAACACTGGGAATGTGATCATAACGCGACCTCGAGGATGATGATATGTCTTTTTCTGCTGTATGATACTGACAGCAAGGCCCGCAATAGGTTGTGTGAAAACAGCCTCTTATCATTTGTGGATCTTACTGGATCCCCC